ATTCATTTTTAACCACACATTCTTGAATAAAATAATATTTCCATCACATCAATAACTTTTCCTTATTTTTCAACCACATATTCTCCATCACATCAACTGTAAAAATTCATTCTTACCTTCAAAATGTGCACCAAACGGGGGCTTAGTGATACGGGACAAAATAGAATTGTTACAATGTGTCAATCTTTTAAGAACTATTTCAAATTGCTCATGTTTTTAGTTGGGTGGCTTCAAAAAACCATCCTTTTCAAATCGCCCTTCTTGCAACAAGAGTTATTCCTGAAAGAGGTACGTGCTCTCATTAAGAACACCTTTGATAGAACTTCCTCTTAAAAGTTAAAATCGACTTGTAAGAGTAAATTGTCTAATGTGTTTATAACGGTTTGAGCTAACCTTTTAATTAATAATTTGGGACTCTCAATAGAGCGATTACATAAAACTTGATTCGAGTAATTTAATTTTTCTTTACCGACTTCCAATCTGTTGCTGTTTATATAACTCGGAGTGAAATCTATTTGTATGATTAAAAGTTAGTGAGAGGCATGATAATAATACAAATGATTGTGGTTTTATTGGAGTCTAATCATATGATTAGGATGATGCACCTAATACAAATAGGGTACCAACTCTTTTGACCCTAAATGGTATCCGGTCCAAGTTTAGTCACTTTCCCTTTAATGTGAAAAGACGTTTTCGCTTCATCCCTATGCCACACGGTCTATGCATTTCCTTTTCAAATTTAAGGAAAAGCCAAAAAATGTGCTATAATTAGATGCGATTAATGCACTTTAGTTCTTGTTTAATTTTGCTAAAAATTAAATTTTTACTAGATTTTAATAAAAATTGATGAAATGTATGATTGAAAAATTGATGAAAATATAATAGAGTGGGATAGCATTTTGCGCTCATGTGTTTGAATTAGGGGTGTCCAAAAGTCCCGAACTGAACCGAACGATTCTTCATAAGGTAAAGACTCGAACAGGTACTCGAATCGAGAACCGATGAGTTTGGGTTGGGTCTCGATTCTAGAACAAGAACCGAAAAATCGAATAAGAAATGTTAAAAAATTTAATTATGATATGTAACCGAACGGAACGGAACGGAACCGAACCGAACCGAACCCGAACGGTTCCATAATTATATTTGGACCGACGGGTCCATTTATTAAATACCCGAAAATTTTAGGTCGGTTCGCTTCTCTTCAGAACAGAACCGAACCGACCCACGGACAGCCCTAATTTGAATTTGAGAGCGACCACAAGTCAATATTGTCAGAACTATTTTTATTCAAATACTGAAAATGTAAAAAATAAAAAAAAGACTCGATAAGATATTTTAATCATCTGATTTGCCACCACCATCAAAGAATTCAGAGGAAATCAATTAAGATTTCCAAACGCTCATATGAGTCATTCTTCATGATTACGTAGGACGTATATGACTTTTTATTTTAGTTTTAGTAGAGTAAAGATCCTAGCACCAACATATTCTGGTCTTCATTTTCGAAATAGGAGTTACATTGCGTACTTGTGTTCTCTCTTTTCCTATTAGCGAGAAAGTATTTATGAATCTCATGAAATGCGTGATTAAAATTAATTATTGATTTTAACTTATATTTTTATTAACTTTTATAGCTAAATCAAACACAAACTCTCAATATTATTTTATGAACTTTCAATTATGGTGATTCTACGAGGGTGGAAAATAAGCAAATATAACTTACTACCTAAAGCATGTTTGGTTAGACTTAAGACAAAAGAAGCTATTTTAGAAGTATAATAAGTACTTATTAAAAAGCTCGTATGTTTGAATGTCATGTGCTCATATGTCTTGGATTGCAAGACTTTGCTCATAGCTTTTTGTTAGAAAAGTTACTAGTTGCAATACAGTAAAGTGCAGAAATAAAACTTATCGACTGATTGAGTCTCGTGACAGCACGATATCCTAAAGCGAAATTGCTAGTCGATAACTGTTGCGACCTCTGTGGACAATCACCATTTGTCAAATAAATCAATTGTACAGCAATCATAAATGACTTTCAGAACTCTCAAGTGTATTTCAGAAAATATATAAGTTTGAGAATAATATTTTTTATTGAATATGAAGATATAATTTCCCTTTTTGTTGTATTTTGTCCAATGCCAAGATGTGTGTTTATATAGGCAGAAAACTGAAGTAACTGCCCACACCATGATTCAGTATTAGTTTCAATTTTAATGGTTAGTGGTAATGAGATTATTAATACTGGACAGTTAAAACAGTAGCGAAATTGCCCGTCGATAACTGCTGCGACCTCCGTGGACAATCACCTCGAGGATACAACGATCAAATAAACCATATATGCAGCAAGCTTAAATGGTTTTCAGAACTCTCAAGTGTATTTCAGAAAATATATAAGTTTGAGAATAATATTTTTTATTAAATATGAAGACATAATTTCCTTTTTTCTTGTATTTTGTCCAATGTCAAGATGTGTGTTTATATAGGCAGAAAACTGAAGTAACTGCCCACACCATGATCCAGTATTAGTTTCAATTTTAATGGTTAGTGGTAATGAGATTATTAATACTGGACAGTTAAAACAGTCATATTCTACTGACTAGTTGACCCATTAAATAATTTCGAAAATGAAAAAAAAATAATAAAATAATTATTAGAATCAAGAAACCCAAGGGCCTAAGGCCCAATCAAAGACCTTTTAATATAATGCGTGAGGCGTGACTCGAATCCCTGACGTCCCACATAAATTCTACACTTTTTACCAGTTGGACACTTTATCTTAATTAATTATGTCTTTCACATATTCTATTTATTGTATAAATATCTAACACTGTTGACTGTCGTCAAATTACATAAATATTTTCAGAATGTTTTACTTGATATTTAAAGCCAAGGCTTGGTTTTTTGAGGAATTTTTCCATGTCAAAAACCATGTTGCAGATTGGTTTATGAACTGTAGGAGAAACTGAGTGTTCTTTTGTAGTCAAGGAAAAAATTGGATTTCACTGATAATCATATTCTTTTAATGTTGATATTTGAAAAAGTGAGAGGTAAATCGATAATTCACTTGATTAACTTTTCTTATAATACGTCAAGATAAGTTACAAATGGACTAAGCTTACGAGCTTATTTCAATTTGGGCTAAAAAATAAGCAACCTCACAAGATAAGTAGCACGTTTCAGTTGAACTTATAAGTCCATCCAAACATACTCCTAGTCTTCCTTCATGCGTTAGCATGAAACTTGCACAACCTAGGTACAACGACACAATTATCAGATTTTCTACTTTATGCCGTCTAATCCTATTAGCTTCAAAATTTTGAAGTGTATATCTTACAATATCATTGATTAGCTATCTTGATATGCTCCAAAAATAACTTTCTTTATTTTAAAAATTATTTTAACTTTCTCGAGCTAAAGTTAAGAATTTACTTTATTTTTCCTAAAGGGAAGATACGGCTTTATATTGGTGTTAAATTGCATTATTTGAGTCAATTTTCGACACTTTTTCTACCTTGAATTATTCGAGTCAATTTTCGACACCTTTTCTACAACCAAATGAAAATTGTGTATTCCATCTTAAGATAAGTATTTAGCCCTTGTTTGTTCTCCATTATTTTTAAAATATATGTTTTTCTCTTCTTTTCAACCACACATTTTTTAATAAAATAATATTTCACGCATATTTGAAAAAAATTCTTAATTTTTAACCACATATTCTCAAACAGGTCCTTAGAGAATAAAGTAGAGTGAATTTACAGATATCTATGATTAAATTATTGTCCCTTCTTTGTTTAGCAAATTAGGGACAAATGCTGCTTAATTTTGGTCTAATCCAATTCACTGATGCATGAGTGTTATAGAAATCTGTGCAGAAAGTTGGATTTTTACTGTGTAATTAATGCAAATTTTGTCAGTTTCGGCGGAAAAACAAAATTATCTTCAACAACTATGCATGCTATTCATCAAGTGTCAATTTTGGCACCATTTCTCTAAACAAAAGGCAGTGGAAGACGAATTCCAATGAAATCTGAGTCAAAATTTTCCGTTTCTGGTTTGAATTTTACGCAACAACTTCCCCAATAATTTAAATACTCCCATTAAGAAAAAAAAGGCTGCAAGAACTTCTGTGAGCTTCACAGTGAGTTTCATAGGACCTTCTGTTTGATGCAAAAAGAGCTCTTCGAGAAAATTTTATTGAGATGATTCTATATAAAAGTTCTTTTAATCGGATACTTTCAGAATATTATTTCTACGAATTCAAAAGTTAACATCCTAGTATCAAAGATAGTTTTTGACTTTTCAAATGTAGAGTCAAAGAGGCCCTATCTTCCTACGACATTGCTCCATCTAACCTTCACTATTCAAGTGCAAACATAAAAATATAGTCACAACCCACAAAAATATAAAGGGAATAAAGGAAATGTATTCAAAAATTTCAATCCTCGACTAAGTAAAAACAAAATGGTTCAGTTAAAAAAGTTGATAAAAAATTAAATCAAAATTAACAATTATTTTTAATAATGTATTTTATGCGACCGACAATTATTGAATGAGTTCAAGATTGTCCTCATTTGCACCAACTATTATTGTCTTCATTATCCTTTTCTACAACCACTTCTGGTAGACTTAATATTTTCCTTCTCAAGCTACTGCTCAAATTCACAGCTTCACATTAATGGATCATACTCCAGTGTCTAAAGGGGATAAAGGGAGATGCTTCTTAGATAAGAGCACTAATTATTCCATATAATGGCAAACAGCATTATACTAAATTAACATATCCTTGGTCCCCTCATGTTCGAAAGGCAATTATGTTCCTCTATCAACTGTTAATTACTAAGCATTTTCCATCTTTCTCTTGAACCTTTCTCTATTCCCCATGCATCATTCACCAAACAGAAACATATCAAAAAGAGACACGCATACATACACTATCTACTACTTGGGTCTCTCACTAAATTAATCATCTTTCTTCTGCAGTTGGGATGCAATTTCCAATGGGGATTCTCCGTTCCTTGTATTGTTTCACTATTTTTGCAGTTTCTTTGACGTTTATGGTGAAAGTTTTCGCTTCTGATCCTCTTTCTGATGCACTCTTGAGCTTTAAATCTGAGGTTATTGATGATTCCAACAGTTTAAATGACTGGTTTGTGCCTTCTGGAGTGAAACCTTCCGGGGAAATTCTTGCATGTTCTTGGACTGGAGTGAAATGCAGTCAAAATTCTTCAAAAATTGTCCGTTTAGACCTGTCAATGAAGAATCTTAAGGGTCCACTATCCGGAAAACAGTTCAATCTCTTTGTTGACTTGGTTGATTTGAACCTCAGTCACAATTCATTCTCAGATAAACTTCCTGCCGGGATTTCTAGCATCACCAATCTAAAATCCCTGGATATCAGCATGAACAATTTTTCAGGCCATTTTCCTACTGGGTTTTCCAAATTCCAGAATTTGGTTGTTCTTGATGCGTTCAGTAACAGCTTTTCGGGACCTTTACCGGCCGATATTTCTGTAATTCAGTCCCTCAAGGTACTGAATTTTGCTGGGAGTTACTTCAGTGGACCAATCCCATCAGAATATGGTTCATTCAAGAACCTTGAATTCATTCATCTGGCAGGAAATAGTCTAAGTGGTAACATACCTCCAGAACTGGGGAATCTGAAAACACTGTCCCATATGGAAATTGGATATAACAGATATGAAGGAGAAATTCCATGGCAATTTGGGAATTTGAGTGAACTCAAATATCTTGATATTGCAGATGCCAATCTATATGGTTCAATTCCAAAGCAAATCTGCAACCTTACAAAACTGGAATCACTTTTCCTCTTCAGTAATCTGCTCACTGGAAATGTTCCATGGGAATTTAGCAAAATCTTGCCCATCAAAAGCCTGGATCTTTCAGACAACCAACTTTCCGGACAAATTCCGAATAGTTTTTCAGAGTTGAAGAATCTTATGCTTCTAAGCCTAATGTACAATAAGATGGATGGATTTGTCCCTGAAGGAATTGCTAAGCTTCCACAACTTGATACTCTGCTTCTTTGGAACAATAACTTTTCAGGTTCACTCCCAGAAGACTTGGGAAGATACTCAAATCTCAAATATGTGGATGTTTCGACGAACAATTTTGTGGGTAGCATACCACCTGATATATGTTCAGGAAGGGAGCTAATGAAGTTGATCTTGTTTTCAAACAATTTTACTCAAGGTCTGTCTCCATCTCTCACCAATTGTTCCTCTCTTGTTCGTGTTCGACTGGAAGATAACTCATTCTCAGGTGACTTATCTTTGAAATTTAGTAATCTTCCTGATTTATCTTATCTGGACTTGTCTAGAAATAGATTTACAGGAGGAATTCCTTCTGATATTGATCAAGCTTACGGGCTTCAGTACTTTAATGTGTCTAATAATCCACTGCTTGGAGGCATAATACCAGTAAAAACGTGGTCTCTGCCTCACCTTGAGAACTTCTCTGTGGTTTCTTGTAGCATATCGGGCAATATTCCTCCATTTCAGCATTGTAAATCCATGTCTGTTATTGAATTGAGTGCAAATAAGTTCTCAGGAATCGTCCCAGAAAGTATTTCCAATTGTAAGGAACTTGTGAGCATAGATTTGGCTAACAATAACTTAACAGGTCCTATTCCTTCAGAGTTGGCTAAACTTCCTGCTATTGGGGTTATAGACATGTCTCGAAATAGTTTCATCGGTCCAATCCCAGCAGAATTTGGAAACTCTTCGACCTTAAAGCTTCTGAATGTGTCCTACAATGACATCTGGGGTTTAATTCCTCCACAGAGGACTTTTAGAATGATGGATAGAAGTGCATTTTTTGGTAATCCGAAGCTCTGTGGGGCACCTCTGAGACCTTGTCATCGTGAAAGTCTGATTCCAAATGGACTAGAATTGGGAAGTAGAAGAACCCAAAAATTAGCCTGGATTCTAATAATCTGTGCGGTCATAGTCCTATTCATTATGGCTGTGGTTTTTGGGATATTTTACTTCAAAAGACGACGTGAAGGCCAGTGGAAAATGGTTGCTTATAGTGGACTTCCTCTATTCACAGCAAAAGATATTTTGAGGAGCTTTAATTCTGTAGAGGTCCTGGAGGAAGTACCCGCATTGCCAGATTCAATTTGCAAAGTACTTTTACCTACAGGAATAACTGTTTCAGTGAAGAAGATTGAATGGGAACCAAGAAGAATGGAAATTGTGTTACAATTTTTGCACAGGATGGGAAATGCAAGGCATAATAATTTGACAAGATTGCTCGGGATATGCTACAACAGTTGTCTGGCTTATCTGTTGTTTGACTACTTGCCTAATGAAAATTTGTCGGAAAAGATCAGAATGAAGAGGGATTGGCCAACAAAGTATAAGATAGTGATTGGAATTGCAAAGGGACTCTGCTTCCTTCACCATGATTGTTATCCAGCAATACCACATGGAAATCTTAAGGCGAGTAACATAATGTTCGATGAAAATATGGAACCTCGTTTGGTTGATTATGGAATCAAATCAATAGTTCAGTCGACTAGTCCATTGCCAGCAAAAATCACAAGGGAGACTGGTACATTCTCTACGCATTATTCAACATTGATCAGAACCGTACATATGCATAAAGTTTCCTTTTTTCACCATTTCTTTTTACTTTCTTATATATTCCTTTCTTTTTTATAGACACATTATTCTATTCTCTTAACCTGTAAATTTAACTCTCATTACTGAAACTTATACATTAAGCTCTATCTGGTAGTATCAAAGATGATTTCTATCTCCATGTTTAACTGAAATGAGCAAAACAAATCATAACTTCCGAGAACTTCATGAAAGGCTCCAGTAAAGAGATTCTTAAGGCAGCATGTCGATATACATGTAGCTTTCTGTAACCAGATTACGAACTAACTTAGCAGTTTACGTGCAAACTCATGATATTAGCTGATTACTTGACAATATTAGAAAAGAATATTTGGTTCATTTTATTGTTCAGTAAAGTCTAATAATGCATACAAAATAGGCACTCGCTATTATTATTTTTAACATATTACTCCAAATTCCAAACTAAAGTCTCCTCACTACTTAGAAGTTCCATTTCCATCCTTAAGATGTGCAGGACACTTGTTTGTAAACCTCAGTCCTGATTTTTCCCTCAAAAAAGTCACCCCCATCCTCCCGACCGTTAATTTTTTTTTTTCTTTGCCTTTTAATTATTTGGACAGGTGAATTCAGCACAGTCAAGGAGGAGCTCTACATGGATATATACAATTTCGGGGAAATCATTCTCGAAATCTTAACAAACGGTAGACTGGTGAACGCGGCATCCAGCATAAGCAACACTCCTAAAGAGATTCTCATAAGAGAAATTACTAATGAGAATGATATTGATTCCTCCAACTCATTCAAAGAAGAGATAAAGTGGGTTCTTGAAGTCGCTTTGCTATGTACTACAAGTAGACCGTCAATGGAAGACGCACTGAAGATGTTATCACGTTTGAAGCCTCAAACAAATGGCAATGGCTCTTAGAACACAAGGCATCTTTTATACAAGTTGCAGTTATAAATCATAAACAAATGTATGTGCTCCAGCTTGCCACTGTAGAAAGTTGATTTTTTTTTGTTTGAATGGTTGATATAATTTGCTGTAAGATATATGAAAAATTCTTGTTTCTACTTTCAATAGTTGAGTGTTTAGCACTGTGATTTTTCCTAATATGGTGAAGAAATTTGATTCTCAGAGCATGTTTGAGGTTACAATTTTATTAAAAAGTATTTCGTTAGTAAAACTATGTGGATATTGTTGATGATACAAATCGGATCAACAAACTCTACTAACCTAGCTACAGTTTTCACTTCTTATACTAGCTAATTTGGATGTTCAAACGGGAGCAAGAAGTAAAATAACTATTTGAGATGGAGATATTTGAATCACGTGCCTTCTTCAAATTAGGGGGTATTTATAGATTTCCCTCCAAACTCTTGGGTAATTTGGTCATCTTGGAGGAACGACACATGCCGACTTTTCGTTGGCCTCTTGCTAACTGATTTTGTTTACAAGTGTCATGCTTTGCGGGTTTGTTGACAGCATATAACCAGCTTGAACGAAAAAAAAGGCTCGCATCTTATTATGCGAACCCTTCATGCTTTCTTTCCCTTCACATATGGTTATGTACTTTGCGGGAAATGTGGTGGGGTTCGTGGAATGGTTTTTTGGATTTAACGGATATATCATATAGGAAAAAGAAAGCGTTTATCATTTTTGAGTTATCTGCAATTCGTGATCACATATTTCATTAATTCTATGTACTTTGCCTCTTTTTTTGCGGATAACCTATTTAATCTGGTTCTTAGCACAAGCTTCTCGTTGGTGCTACCTTCCCACAAACGCAGCCTCAACGTTTTTTTCCGGTTTATTTGTTCTAAAATCTACTTTTTCTTTCCCATTGACAAGGGATCATGAAGTGGTGATTAAAATTGAATTTTTGGTTACTGAGTTCAGACTTTTGTTGTTTTTACTTGTCTGAAACCTTGTTTAGAATCTGCTCTTAATATCTGATTTCTTAGTGTTTGTAATTTGCATGTCCCTTTCTTTAATTGCAGTAGGTAGATGCACCAGCTCTTATTTCTAGACTTTTGGATAAACTGGTGAAGAGTGACATATATAGTGAGCGTCGTGGAGCAGCGTTTGCTCTAGATGGGGTGGTTAAGGGATTGAGAGTATCTTCTCTGATGAAGTATCTCAGCCTTACTAGAGGGTCTTTCATCAAGTCTGTTCTATGAAAAGGTTTTGAGCTTTTCTGGACTTTGTCACCATTGCCCATGACTACTATACCAAGACGAGAAAAACGAGGCATCAAATATTAGTTGCTAAAACATCTGGCCTTTTCGGTGTTGTCAATTGACCTGTAAGATTTATCCTTGATTAACTATTATCTATGAAGATAATGGCCTGCTTCTCTTGACAAGAATATAGGGCAAATCATCCAACATAGAGTGGGAATAAAGTTTGAGTTGAATTTGGAAGAGATGAAGCATGTTAGGGAACTTATACAGGAATTTTTTTGGGGATCAGATGAGGAACTATGGATGTCAACCAAGTTGTGTTAAAGAGAGTGGTTATGAGATAGGATGAAGGAAAAATTAAGGTCATGATTTATGAGTAGGTTGGAAAGACTCGAAAGCTCTATCAAGTAAATTTAATAGTGAACTTTTCATCATTCTGTCCATCAACCTAAATTTTCGAGAATAATAAAAAACATAGGAAGGCAAACTATAGAAAGTGAGAAAGCGTAATAAACCCAATGAGTCGTAGATTTTGGCATGAAAACTAATTTGGCGATATTAAAGTGAAAAAAATGTTGAATATTAAAAAGCAAGTCTAGATTAGGTAATTAATATATGTAGTACAAGCTAGATCACAACATAATATTAGGTCACTATGTATCCCTATACAATAAAAGAGAGACTTCATATTGACACTGTTCACCCGTCCTTTTTTGCATTGTTCATCCTTCCTTTTTTTTTTCTTTCTTTTTTTTTTTTTGGTTTTTTTTAACTTAGCCTTATCTTTTTTTCTTCAACCATGTTAATTCACTGTCATTTGACTTCTTCGTACTTTATGTTTGTGTGTGAGAAGGGAAGTTGTGTTGTCCCAGCGTCATATCGTTTCAACAGCTCCACCGCGGCTGTGTCACCTCATCTCAATAGCTCCACCAACAGTATTTTGAATTTTCGTCTGATAATTTTGGGATCTCCAACAAAAATCTTTGGTTCTTATCCAAGTTTCAACATTGTGGTCTCGTCTTGTGAATGTATATACATTTTACACACTTTTCGGAACATGCCTTCTACAGAAATCACTTGTTCTTGTTGATCTTCGAATGTTCCATTGTGTTCTTAGTCAAACGGTGAGAAAATCGAACAGATCTATGCGTTTTTTGATTTGGTTGTGATTCACTTTGAACTATGTTATGTGTTTTTGGGTTTTGTCGTGGGTTTTTTCCGGTCTTATTGTGGGTTTTTTGCTTAGTTTTTCGACCATTTCATGTAAAAGGTTTAAAACTTTAGAAGTCCCAATTTTTTTAGGGGTTTAAGCGTACACGAGGTGACAATTTTAGAATGGGAACTGAAAATATATAATTTTAGATATATGGAAAATAATTAGGTGTTCATTTTGGGCTTTGATTTCTTAAGCGTGTATTTCCTTTTTTATTCCATAGCGATTTTTAGTTCTTTTTTGGTGATGTATCAGGAACATAAGTGAAACCCAAAAATTCGGTTACTCGTTCTTTTGGAACAATTAGAGGAAGGCTCCGAATTTCTCAGGTAAATAGGAGTATAAAAAGATTTTTCAGTTTCGAACTCTAATTTAGCTTCGCTATTGAATAGGGTAAATTTATCTTTTATCATTTTTTATGTATTGTTCTACGTTTCTTGTTATTATAGCTGATACATTTCATGTTAATTTGGAAGAATTTTCTGTAATTAAAAGTTGAAGTTACAAATTAAGATGTTAATGCTTATATACTATGATTAGTTGTTTGAAATTTGAAATTATTAATTTCTAAATTTTGGCTTATTATGTTTGGGGCGTCATTTTTAGTTAAATATTGAATTTATGAATTGAGGATTTGTTGTCATATGTTCATTGATTTTTTAGGCAACACTGGGAATCAGCGATGCTACAAAGAAAAGTTTAGTTCGATGTAACATAGGCAATAAGAGTCCAATCTTACTTTGTGTATTACTGCCCAATAAAACAGAGTCTTGCCATTTGGATTTGGAGTTCACGGAGGCTGATGATGATGTTTTTTTGGTGATTGGTCTATGAAGTATTTACCACACTGGTTATTATGCTAATCACATTCAGCATTTCAATCCACATTGCAATACGTATCCTTTTTTTACTGTGTTTCAATCTCTTAAATTATTTTAATTGTTGGTTTGTCATTTCATCCATTTGTACCACTTGAATATTACGTTTGTTCATTGATATTGTGCAAGGTCTGACTGATAGTCATCTCTTGGGATCCTTGTTGTTTTCATTTTGTGCTAGCAGCAGGTGTGAATACTTATACTTTCATGTTTAATAATATTTTAATGGAATTGCATGTTGCATTACAATGTTGTTTTCCTGTTGAAGAGATATGTAGAATTTCATTAAATGCATCGTCATTCTTTTTTTTTTTAAGGCCATTTANTATGTAGAATTTCATTAAATGCATAGTCATTCTTTTTTTTTTTTAGGCCATTTAGCTTTCTGTTAGAGTAAATATCGTGTTCATGTCTTTATATCCATGGTTATGAAAGGGAGTGTTATGCAATTATGAAATTGATCATGTGTATGGGAGTTTGATTCATAATTGATAATTGCATGGCATTGCCTATACAAAACAATTTGATAGCTGCCATTTAAAATTGAATGGACCATTACAAAGAGAATGCAAAATGAATGTATTTTTAATTCTAAAAACTGTATGTAACGATAAAACGATTATGGTTTTTAATAAAATTTACTATCATCTAATGATTATTGAAGCTTCAATTTTTTGTTGTAATTTGTTGTGCTGAGTAATTTTTTGAGCAATTATCTGATTTGTTGAATTGATAGTAAGCAAGTGGAATTGAAACCTCTTCTTCTGTAGTTGACAACTATAGGAAAATGGTATTTGAAAAAAATTCTGGATTTTAGTTTTAGATTTTCTACTTTTTTTTCCTTTTTATGAGATCGAACAAAAAATACCTAAACGTTTCATTTTTTAATTTTTTTGCTGTTTTAAGTTATTGCCTTTATCTTTGATTTGAGTTTTGTGAGACTCTTACTGCAAAATGGACAATTTTTTTTATTGTTTTTGGGATTTTATTATATCTTATTGTTTTTAGTTTTTATTAGTTTTTTTTTTTAAAAAAAATCGATTCTTTTTAATGAGAAGTTATGCAATCGCTAATTTTTGGAGTTCACTAGGTAAATTTCATTAAATGCATCGTCATTCTTTTTTTTTTTAAGGCCATTTAGCTTTCTGTTAGTGTAAATATCGTGTTCATGTCTTTATATCCATGGTTATGAAAGGGAGTGTTATGCAATTATGAAATTGATCATGTTCTCACACTGTGTATGGGAGTTTGATTCATAATTGATAATTGCATGGCATTGCCTATACAAAACAATTTGATAGCTGCCATTTAAAATTGAATGGACCATTACAAAGAGAATGCAAAATGAATGTATTTTTAATTCTGAAAACTGTATGTAACGATAAAACGATTATGGTTTTTAATAAAAATTACTATCATCTAATGATTATTGAAGCTTCAGTTTTTTGTTGTAATTTGTTGTGCTGGGTAATTTTTTGAGCTATTATCTGATTTGTTGAATTGATAGTAAGCAAGTGGAATTGAAACCTCTTCTTCTGTAGTTGACAACTATAGGAAAATGGTGTTTGAAAAAAATTCTGGATTTTAGTTTTAGATTTTCCACTTTTTTTTCCTTTTTATGAGATCGAACAAAAAATACCTAAACGTTTCATT